TGAGGAGCTGGAGCCTGCCAGGTAGATGTAAGGAAGCTGTCAGATAGGTCTGGGTAGGATTACTGACAGGATTTCTCCCTGGCAGCTTACACAGCACCTTCTGATACCATGAGAGTGACCCTCAGAGAGGAGGCTGCATGGTGAGCTCCAGCCCAGTTCCTCTAAGTGTGGTTTCTGAAGTGTGGGTGTCTTCAGTAACAGGGTATTATATTCAAGTTTTAGAGGGAAACCAAAGGCAATGATAAGAGCTGGTATGATTTTGTGAGACTCTTAGACCCTCACAGATGAACAATTGGAAGGGAAGTTTCCCATGCTTGGCACTTAAGCGCCACTCCATAGGCGGGGCTGCCTCAGTAAGCCTAGTCCACAACCACAACCTGTGGCTGGAGAAGTCATGGAGAACCTACCACCACTGTCATTTCCTAAACCAATATAATTTCTAATTATATACATATATATATGTACATATATATATATGAATATATAGTGTATGCTAGTTTATAAAGTAATGTTTCCTTATAGCTCCTTCAAACATCTTTACTGCCATTTCTTTCTCCATCCTTCCTCTCCCATCTGTGTTACCATCCCCTTCATCTTCCCAATTAAAGTCCCCATGCCATTTCTCCTATTTCTCTCTTTATAGCCCCTGTTCCACTATCCCTCTCTCTAGGGCTACAGCTCTTTTCCCACCTTCCTCCTCAGCATCCTTTTATTTATCTACTTATTTGTTTGTTTGTTTATCTATTTTGTTTTCTACAGTTACTTTACATTATATACTCCTAAAGAACTGGAACTGGGGTCCCCAAGTAAGAGAAAATGTGTGGCATTTGTCTTTGTGGATCTGGATTACCTCATTCAATATAATGGTTTCCAGTTTTATCCATTTACCTGTGCTTTTCATTTTTTTGCAGCTAGTAGAATTTCAGAGTGCATATGGACCACATCTTCATTACCTGGTCCTCTATGCTGATCCCATTTCCTAGCTATTGTGAGTAGGGCAGTAACGAGCATGGCTGACCAAGTATGTCTGCAATAGGCTATTGAGTCCTGTGGGTCTGTGCAGAGGAGCAGTAGAGCTGGGTTATGTGTTAGATCTAATTTAGTCTTCTGAGATTTCTCCGTGCCGATTTCTACAGTGGCAGCACTGGTTTGTAATCCCATCAACAGTGAATGAATGTCTTCTAGAAATGATTGGATTGCCGAACCCCATGAAATCCCAACAATGTGCTTGTCTAACCTAGACCTGTACAATGACAATAGCAGTCCAACATTCCCACATGGATGAGGTTTCACAAGGCTTCCACCTAGATGAAGAACTACAGACAATCAATACTTCTGGGAGGGAGAATCAGTGTTCTCCAAGTAGGAGCCCCTGATAGATTATCCGATCTAATTGGTCAGCCCTAAATATGTGTACATACAGTAACACTGAATAATCTCCACAGATCATACACACACACACACACACACACACACACACAGAGAGAGAGAGAGAGAGAGAGAGAGAGAGAGAGAGAGGGGGGGGGTAACAATATTTATAAAAGAGACCATGAATTTGAGAGGATGTGGGAAGACAAGAGTTGAATTGGAGGGGCACAGGGAGGGCTGTAAATAATGTAAATGTAGAACTCATGCATGAAACTAAAAAAACAAATTAAATAAGCAACAATCTTCCAGCCCTATGCCTCAGTGTTGTACTCTCCACGACTCCTCAGGGCTCTTCCCTCCTGAGTTCTCAGCTCCTGAAGCTTGTGCTGGACCTCTCAGCAGGAACTCTTTCTGCAAGTTCTAGGCAGATGGATCAAAGAAACCAAGCATCTCCCACCCATGATGTCCCTTCTGACACCAGGCTCTAAAGGACTCCCTACTGCAGCTCTCAAGCTTCAGGCTCCTCAGCCCCCAAGTTTTCCACCCAGACTCCTCTCTGTGAACTCCCCCCCCCCGCCGCCTTGACTCTCACCTCCTGAACACTAGGCTGGACATCTCTGGAGTCCTCAGCCAGAACTCTAACCCTGCTGCAGAGTTTCACCTCACCTCAGAAGCAGGATGCCTCCCTGATGCCCAGAGAGAATTTCGCCTGCTTGACTCCAAGCTGGCCTCTTCTGGCCTGACTTCTAGGTGGGGCCTCCTCCAGTCTGTGTCTACATAACTGGAATCTCTTTACTTAACTCAGTGTGTACCGAGCATCCTAGTTTGGTGTCAATTCTTCAGCCTGATTCCTTGGTGGTTAAGTCGCTCAGCCTACTTTTCAGTGTCAAAGTCTTTTTGCTTTTTTGTTTTGTTTGTTTGTTTGGTTTTTCAAGACAGGGTTTCTCTGTGGCTTTGGAGGCTGTCCTGGAACTTGCTCTGTAGACCAGGCTGGCCTCGACATCACAGAGATCCACCTGCCTCTGCCTCCCGAGTGCTGGGATTAAAGGTGTGCGCCACTGCCACCCAGCATGGCCAATCTTTTGTCTCAATTAGCAAGCACCTATCTCTACAAGTTCCTAGTTATTGGTAAAGTCACAAACGAAAGAGAAGACAATTGCTTGCAAAGGCAGGAAGGGGCAGAGACACCCAGGGAAGGGAGCAGCAACACAAAATGAAGCAAATGTGAGTGAATGTCTTTGAAGTGGCTGGGGAGAGTGGGGATGTAGGAGGAGGTGAGAATGGTGCTGGAATTATCATGTTGGGCCACAGTTATTGGGTGTTTAGTCTCTTCTTTTGGCAGGGCATTTGCGGTACTGCAACCTGAAAATAGAAGCATGCGTATTGAAGCTGCTGTCTTCTGCTATGGAGCACAGAGAGAGATGCTACAGCATCTAAGGGACATCTTTCCTCCCTCCCGAGAAAGATGTCCAGTCAAGTAGCTGTGGAAACTACTTCTCTTTACTTTTTGAGTTGCAAATTTCTGAGGAACTATAAATTTGTTAATGAGTGCCAAATTATATGATAATTAGCAGCATGCATCAGTGATCCAACTATGGCCTAATCGGACCATATCTGTCTTCCTTACTTCTTGTTGTTTAGAGGTTATGCTGGCCACATTTGGATTTAAGTTTTGAATATACTAGGTTAGTCTTCAAGATAAATCAGTAATTTCTTAGCAATGAGGATGGTGAGTTCTCAAGTCATTAGAAAACGCACAACTTTAACTATATTTCAAAACATTGAGTTTCTTCACAATAACTGTACCAAAATATCAGCTTAATATTTCCTGAAGTCATGGCAAACTCCAGGGGTAACACACACACACACACACACACACACACACGCACACATACACACACACAAAAATAAAAACCCAGAAAGCCAGTAGCTGTAGTGAGATATCCATTCCACCCCCACCGCACCTGTAGCAGGTGTGCATGTAATGGCTCTCTCAGTTCAAGTAGCTCTTATGTTTACCTCAGGTTGAAATGGCTAATCCTGCTTCCATGACCTCTCACCAAGCCTCAGACTGCTGCCTTTCAGTGTGACTGCAGAATCACTGCCTTCCTGTCCACAATGTGACTGGAGAATGATTGCTAGCTCTGAGACCCTGTTCTTGTCTTAAATACCTCTCATGATTCCTGGGATTAAAGACAAGATCTCTGTTACTTTTTTATACTGATTCAATCTTGTGTAGCCCTGGGTGGCCTTGAACTCAGAGATATCCACATGCCTTTGTCTTCTGAGACATGGGATTAAAGCTGTGTGCCATCAGGGCCTGTCTTCTATGCTTAACAGGTATGGCTGCTTTACTATTTTCATCTCCAGTGGCTTTAATAAATCATAAATAATAATCACAATAATTCCCCTCTTTTGTCTAATACAAAATAGAAGCTACAACTAACATAAGAAAAACCATATACAATATGTACAATAAGTATATACAATGTATAGAGGTAATAAGTACATTAGCAATGTCTAGTCCATTTGCATTTGACAAATTTAGAGAAAAATACTTCCTTATCTACCCTATCTTGGTTAATCCAAAGTCTTGTACCTAATTTACTTTCTAGTGTAATTTGCATTATCAAATTATCTTTTTGTGTCTTTCAAACCTTATATACTGTACATTTCTTTAGTGAGTTTCTTTTCTGAGTCTTGTAAACAAGGAAAACTGTAACTATAACTATAATTATTTAGTCTTCAACTCCCACAGAGAATGGAGAAGGAAATAATATTAACTGAGTAAGCAGGAAGTGCAACTTCCAAAATATGTGAGAAATAACATAACAGCTAGTTGCCTGGACAGTCACTCAAGGTTCCTTTTCAAGATTGAGACATCCATCTTTGGCCTGTAGGCCTAGCATATCTGACAGACTTTTCTGTGAAGCAAGATTTTTGAAGGACTGTACAAAATTGTTTTGGCAAGATTTTGCAGTTCCCCTTTTGTGTCCTCCTTGTCCAGTTTGGACCACATATTGTCAGTAGGCAAGGCAAGGACACTTTCTTGCCTAGTGGCTTACTTTTGCCACAAGTAAAGTAAACTCCATGTGAGTTTCTTCAATGCCTATCCTCTTCTCTGTAGTTTCTTTGATGCCCATCTTCTTCTTTGAAGTAGATTGGGGCTTCCAGCAGCAGACATGTCCCATTGTCATAAAAAAACCTGTTATTAAAACACTCTAAATACTGTGTTCTGTAGATCTCTGAAGTGTTTGATGATGACTTGTCTTTCTAAAATATATCTGTGTTTGACTTTAAGAACATACCTAATGTGACTACAAGTTCTATAGTAATAGGTGACTAATTACTAAACTGCATTTCCATATTTTCCTATGTAATTGGTAATAATAACTTTCAAAGACTAGATCTTTACATTACATTGATAAATGAGCTGTATAGGTATAATACCTTGAACAATATTAGAAATGCATGTGCAGTATGTTTTAACCAATTAATTTTAAATTTGCATCAATATACAATATGTCTAGACAATATCACAAGTGCAATCCAATGTGAAATATTTAAAATTAATAGTTGCTTTTAAAAAGTAAGTTCAATAATCTGCCTTTTTTATCCAACATCGGTATTCCTTTTTTTTTTTTTAAAGACAAAAACCTTGAGTCAGGTCCCCTTTGTTCAACTCTCTTCCTGACCATAACCAACAATATTTTGTAACCAATTATCCTAAACAATGACAAATACCCATAATCCAATGAGTGGCCAAAATTCACCCACCCCACCTCTTAGCAATATGGATGTCATGTTCTTAAATTTACTTTCTGCTCTCTGGGGTATGACAGCATCTTTAGAGGATCCCGAAAAGAAAAAAATTAGGTTAGCTGTCAAGCTGTATAATTTTTGTACAGTCTTTGCATAATGCAAAAGTGCAGGGCTTATGGCAAGCCCTGGCTGGAGTAGTCTGTGAAGCTGGGTCATCTAAACAGAAGCCTGTTTCTTTGCATGTCATCGATGTTATACTTCAAGAGGTCTATTTCTCCATTCATTTCCTCAGATTTCTTCCTAAATAATTCTTCAAGCAAAGCCTTTTGATCCTAAAACAGTGACCACGAGAGACAAGTAAATATTGTAGAATCCCAGCATTGTATGAGTTATAGTTTCAAACTTTTAGCAAGTGGTCTTTAGTGACTACTACATGATTTATCTTACCACGAAGAAATTTTCTGAGTTAGGCCTCACATTGTGGGGAAGGACAGTTGAAAGTTCACTGATGTTGACACACACTATGTGTTTTGACTGCAGTGCTAGCAGAGGTGTGCAGCCCTCCCTACACTCACATACACAGAAATGCCACTGGTCAGATTGTAGAGACGTCAAACAACTGAGACAGTGTGGCCACCATATCATTCAGAAGGTGGGGTCCTATATCCATTGTTTTAGAAATCTGTTCCCATTTTGCTTGCAGATGGACAATGAGAGAATCACTACAATGCCACGTGCTGCTTCAAACAGGCTGTCCTCCCTGGAGACAGGTACAGAACCTGAAGAAGCTGTTAATTCTCTGTGCTCTTCATCTGGACATTTCTTTCAATTTTATGTCAGCATAGACCATGGGAGGGAGTGGGGTGAGTATTCAGGTGTCTAATAAATGGGCCTGGATAACTGAGACACATTCCTGGCCTTATGAAACTGCCTGGTTGGGGAATTTGTTCAGTAAGTCCCCAGGAGGTCATTTTTAAATATCCTGACAGTAAATAAAATGACTAGAGTCACTAAAACCCCAAAGGAGCAACTGAAATCCTGGGGGGGGGACTCCATAGTAACATTACATTTTGGTGGTACTTCCTCTTACGACCTGGCTACAAGATTTCTCCTGCTCCGCAGGGTTTGAGGACTACCAGGGGGGATGAAGAGTCCTGAAGCTGCTTCTCCAGCATCTTTTTCTGGTCTTCAATGAGCTGCTCTCTCTCCTGCAGCAGCTTCGTTCTCAGTTGCTCCAGGTTTTCCTTGTGACTTTTCTCTTGAGCCTCCATCAGTTGCTGCTGCTCCTTCTGCTTCTGTCTTAGCAGCTCCTGTTTCTTCTCAGCTGCCTCCTTCTGGGCCCACTCCTCTGTCCCAGGAAGATTCAGGGAAGGAAGAAATGATGGGGGATTCAGTGTGGATGAGGGGAAGAAGGTGATGGGTCAAGTAAAATGTCTGCATTCCAAAATCCAGAGAGCAATTCAGATCTCAGAAGAAACCACAGACTCCACTGGTCTACACCATGGAGAGAGAGAGTTTCTGGAGGTGCCATCACCAGATGGGAGACATGCAGTCTTTTACATTGAATTCACTATGGACACACAGAATGCTTATCACTGAATGAGACAAGCACAAGTGGTCAATGAAGGCACAGCCACGCTACAGATGTGAAGCAGCACTAGAGTCATGACAGTTAATGACACAAACATTACCAGCAGCTTCTTCTGGAATTGCTGGTTTTCATCCATGAAGACAGCAATGGCTTCCTTCTCACAGGCTGTGTGCTCACCCAGCAGCTCCTGGAGCATGTCTGGGGGGAGCCTCAGTCTCTGGGCCATCTGCTCACTGTAGTGGTCAACTGCCTTCTGTATGGCTGCTGAGTTCTCACGCTGGGCCAGAGTTGTCACAGCATCATCCAGACACGGCACTGCTCCACTGTTGATGGCATCCACATAGGTCGCCACCAGAGTCCCCAGTCCTTTATGAACCAGGAGTTTTAGGGGAGAACTATGAAGTTATAAGTGAATGGGATCCAAGATTTTGAGACTAAATTTCTCAATCTCTCATACATACACACACACACACACACACACACACACACACACACACACACACACACCTTCAGCAAGACATTCATATTTTTTCACATTGTCCCTTTTTGTGATTGTCTAGTTCACAATGCTAAAAGTTAGTATCAATCTTCACCTAATACATTTATATATCTACAGAAACTATAATTTGCTATTGAAACTTTAAAGGAATAGATTGTATAAAGTAACAAGAAAAAATACATCAATTATTTCTTAATTATATGGATTTGTACAGTTCAAACACTAGGTATTTATATTGAAACTATTTAAATTTCCCAATTACATTTCACTTTTTCATTCAAAAATTAATATACAAGGCATGCTCTATGAAGATAAAATTTATCATCTTTAGTGGTTTTAACATTGATTTTATAGGTGATTAAGTGCCTTTTCACTACTGACTTTATTATCAGCTGATAATTCTATACAGGTATGTTATAGGCATATATCCTAGTGATGAAGTCTATAAAGAAATTGTAATCTACAATTAATTATAAGACATATAGATTTTTCAGAGTAGGTACTAAATAGAGTATCATTGCATAGACAATTTTTATAATAACAACCATGCTATTAAATTCAACATATACTACTCTATACAGAAGTGTGATTAAAAACTCTTACGATTTCCAGTGACCTTAATCCCCTCTCTGAGTGTCTTGACCTTTGCATCATTAAAGATGTAAGAAACAAAAGCCCTTGTTTGTTCTTGGAATTTAGGATCCAGTTGGTCTTCTGAGACTGTCTCAATTTTTTGTAAGAGTTCTTTGTCATTCATTGGCCGGTCAAACACAAAGCACTTCCGTTTAGGAAAGAAATGTCTGATGCACTCCCTGGGCAAATTGGATGCTTGGATTCTGGGATTGTTGCCTGCTGTTAGAGAGCAAATGATGGAGGCTCTTGTCTATGTGGAGTGTTCTACACTCACAGGTCTCTGTACCATGAACATGCAACACTTCTTTGCATGTCAAAAGTATACCAAGTTTGCACTTGGTAGAAGTTTGGTGAAATATTTCAGGAGACATTTGACTCTATGAAAGAGGGTATGGCTAAAATCCTCAGACCTGACTATGGCATCAAGCATACTGTAGTTGTGTGTTCTGTTGACTGAACAACAAAAGGCTAAATGTGATTTCTGTCCCAATCATTCCTTTGTAGCAAAGGAGCTGAGAAACCCAAAGGAAGAATAATAGAGTATTAGAAATAGCAACATTAGAATTGCATTCCTCACAAGACTTCATCAGCTCCACTTGGGCTGATAACTGATGTAGATCACTAATATTAGTGATCCTGACACTCTAGCATAAATAAAAGTAGACTGTTGTGATAAATTATGTTGGATACTGAGAAGGTATAGACTGAAAAGACCTATTTGTTAGTTTACTTCGAACATAACTATTTTGTAGGCACCATAACCTATCCAACATTAAAAACCCATGCTCCTCCATGAGAAGAACAATGCATAACTCTGTGAAAAACATTTTGAGAAAGGGTTTGTGTTTTATTTCATGAACTTCAATTGTGTGCTCAGTTCTTTCCTAAAGAGAGGAAAGCAGAAACAAAAATAGGCAATACAGATGCCTGGACTTGGAGAAGTTTAGATGCTGTATACTCCAGATGCTAAAGTACAAACTGTATAGACCCTGGGTTGGAATGATTTTGCTGTGTTCTAGGCTCTACTTTTCTCAAAAGAAATCAAACGCCGCTTCCCAGACATTATCAACCAATGACCTATCAGAATTTCTGCAGTCCTCCATCCCAGTGCAATACAGAAGAACCCCCACAGAGGATGGGGGCAGCTCAGCAGATCTCAGCCCCTCCCAGCCCCCACCCCAGCCCTCCCTGTACCTGGGATCAGCTTCAGTGCATTCTCCAAGTACTCATCCTCCGTGATGCTGTCTCCATCTAACTTCAGCTCCAGCATGAAATCCCGAACAGTCCAGACGAAGTCTGGAAAAAAACTCTGTGGAATTCTTTATTCCAACAGGACTTGGAGAAGACTTTGCCTTGATCAGCTCATTGAGTTCTGTGACATAACTGGCATTTAGTTAAGCAAAAGTGAATTTATGCAACATGTTCTCATGATTCTCTTGGGAAAAATAAATCACTATGAACACTCTTTTTCTGACCTGGGTCTCCTTAGCCCACCAGAAGCCACACAGTGACACTGTAGGTCAGAGCCTCCATATGCATTGCAGAGCAGTCAGTGAAACCTGGCTGCTCAGGTCCTACAAGGATACTGCAGCTGCTCCAAGTTCTGGTGGTTGATGGTAATCATGCTGTTGTAGACCAAGGTGCTGCTCAGAAGCATGGCCAGGGCAAAGATCCACGAGTCCTTCTTAGGGTCAACCTGGAAGACACAGAGGGCAGAGGGCTGAGGAGAGCACTCCTCAGGAGTCCATATGGGCTGGCCCTGTGGCCTTGTTCTTCCAGGAACTGTGGAGCCCCAGGCAGGGGGAGCAAGAGTGCTTTCTCTGGCTAGAGAAAGAATCCAAGATCAGCCTGAGAAACTTAGTAGAACCCACATTGCTGTGCACAGAACACAGCTCCAAGTGGAGCGAGGACCTCAGTGTAAGATAAGACAACCTGAATCATATAGAAGAGAGGGTGGGGAATGGGATTGAATTCATTTGCTTAGGAATGGACTTTCTGAACAGGACCCAGATCGCATAGACTCTAAGAACAATTAACAGATGGGATCTCATGAACAGGAAAAAGTCTGTAGCAGGTATACATTGGATAGATGGTTATATACAAAGAACTATAAACAAAACCAACCAAATAGAAACCCTGAAAATCAAGGAAAGAAATAGCACAATTAAAATTTTATGTGTAGGAATAAACAAAGTGCTCTTAAACAGTGACACACAAATTGCTAAGAAACACATAAGGTTCAACACTGTTAGCCACCAAGCAAGTGCAAATGAAAATCGCTTTGTGATTTCACACTATGATAGTCAGAAGGGCAAAGAGCAATAAAACAAATGATTGCACATGCTTTTATGTACTGATTCATATGTGATCTCACAGACACTGTGACAGCATGTGTGAACTCACAGAAACTGTGTCAGCATGCACAACACCTGCACAGTCTTAAACAAGACAAAGTCCCAGCTGAGAAAAGAGGTAGACACAAAGTCCTGATGGAATTTTAGCTTTAAATATATGATTGTCTTTGCCTGCTTTCTGTCCCCTGCTGTTAAGTCCATTTCTTCACTGGTATTAGAGCCTACTTCTTCAGAATTCCAGAATCTATCAAAGACCATCTGAGACATCCAGTCTTGTGGACTGAGCAACTACTGGATTCTTGGATATTCTGTTCATTACCAGCCATTGTTGGATTAGATGAACCATAGCCTATATCTGGGGATATGGCTTTCAGTCTGAGAGAGAAGAGAGAGAGAGAGAGAGAGAGAGAGAGAGAGAGAGAGAGAGAGAGGAATGGAAGAAGGGAGGGAGGGGGAGAGGGAAAGGGAGGAGAGAAAGAAAGCATCAGTGGCTGAACAAGACACCAGGGGGCTGAGAGACTGTGTCACCAGAAGCATTGGTAGCTTCTAGAAGCTATCTTAAGAAGTGCCTCTGAGCATGCTGGGAGACAGTGTCAGTCCTGATGTGCCTTCAGACCAGTGTCAGTGCCACAGAAGTCCTCAGCAACACTCACAGCTGCCAGAAACCGTATGACCACTGAAGTCTCAACCTCAGTCCTGCCTGCACCTAGAGGAGCAATCACTGGAGCTGAGACACCATCTATACCTGGAGGAGTGATCATTGGAACCTCATCCCTGCCTGTACCTGAAGGAGCATTCAATGGAGCCAAAGCTCCCAACTACACCAATTGGAGAAAAGAAACCCCCTGAAGCAAGGCTCTACCTGTATCAAGTGGAGGAAGTGGTGGGAAGACAACAGTGAAAGAAGAGTACACTCAACAATACAAAGAACAATACAACACCAGCAGAAGCTCGTGGTTCTATAGCAACAAGACCTGACCATACCAACACAGATAAGCAGAATGACATAAAAATAACCATGAAGATGATTGAGGCCATTAAATAGGGAATGAAAAAGTCCCTTAAAGAAACGGAGGAATGGACAAACAAAACATTGGAAGACATGAACAAATCCCTTAAAGAAAACCAAGAAAAAGCAACCAAATGGGTGAAGGAAACAGCTCAAGAGTTGAAAACTGAAATAGAGACAATAAAGAAAACACAAACCAAGGGAATTCTAGAAATGGAAAATATGGGTGAACAATCAGGAATGACAGATGTAAGCATAAACAACAAAATACAGGAGATGGAAGAGAGAATTTCAGGCCTTGAAAATACGAGGCAGGAAATAGATTCATTGGTTAGAGAAGATGTTAAAAACTAATTCTTAACAGAAAATATCTAGGAAATCTGAGACACAATGAAAAGACCAAACCTAAGAGCAATAGGGATAGAAGAAGAAGTCTAGCTCAAAGGCACAGAAAATATATTTAACAAATCATAGAAGAAAATTTCCCCAATCTAAAGAAAGACATGCCTATGAAAGTACAAGAAGTTTAAGAACACCAAATAGTCTGGTCAACAAAAGTCCCCTTGCCACATAGTAATCAAACACTAAACATACACAATTAAGAAAGAGTATTAAGAGCAGCAAAGGAAAAAGGCCAAGTAACATGTAAAGGCAGACCTATCAGAATACACCCAACTTCCAATTGAAATAATGAAAGCCAGAAGGTCCTGGTCAGGAGTTATGCATACACTAATTGACCAGAGATGCCAGCCCAGACTACTTTACCCAGAAAAGCTTTCCATTACTATAGAGGGAAAAACAAGTTATTCCACAACAAAACCAGATTTAAACAATACCTATCCACAAATCCACCCCTCCAGAAAGTACTAGAATGTAAACTCCAACCCAAGGAAGTTAGAAACACCCTTATAAACACAGACAATAGATAACCTTACACTTGCAAATCCCTAAGAAGAGAAGCACACACACACACACACACACACACACACACTCCACACACACTACTAGAAATGAATGAAGTTCATTTCTTATTTGTCAAGGGAAAAACCCATCAAGATGAAGTCTCAATTCTGAACATCTATTTCCTGAATACAAGGGCACCCTCATTTGTAAAAGAAATATTATTAAAGTTTCAATCACACATGAAGCCCCACACTCTAATAATGGGAGACTTCAACATCCCACTCTCACCACTGGACAGATATGCTAGACAGAAGCTTAAGAGAGAAATAAAGGAACTAACAGATTCTATGACTCAAATGGGCCTAACAGACATCTATAAAACAATCCACCCAAACACAAAAGAATATACTTTCTTCTAAGCACCCCATGGAACCTTCTCTAAGATTGACCACATACTCGGAAACAAAAAAGCTCCAATAGATACAAGAAAATCGAAATAAACCCCTGCATCTAACTATAGCATAAAGTTAGAATTCAACAACAACACTAATTGCAGAAAGCCCACAAACACATGGAAACTGAACAATACCCAACTGAATCAGCATTGGATCAAGGAAGAAATACAGAAAGAAATTAAAGATTTCCTAAAATTCAATGAAAATGACATAACAGCACACCCAAACTTATGGGTCACAATGAAGGCAGCGATAAGAGGAAAGTTCATAGAACTAAATGCCTACATGAAGAAGCTAGAGAAATTCCACAACAGTGAATTAACAGAACAACTGAAAGCTATAGGACAAAAAGAAGCAAACTCACTCAGGAGAAGTAGATGACTGGAAATAATAAAATTGAGGGCTGAAATTAATAAAATAGAAACAAAGAAATAACAAAGAATCAATGAGAAAAAGACTTGGTTCCTTTAGAAAATCAACAAGATAGACAAACCTTTATCCAAACTAACCAAAAGAAAGAGAGAGAATAACCCAATTAACAAAATCACAAATAAAAAGGGAGACATAACAACAGACACTGGGGAAATCCAGAGAATTATCAGCTCATACTTCAAACACCCGTTCTCCACAAAATTGGAAAATGTAAAGGAAATGGAGAATTTTCTGGATAAGTACCACATACCAAAATTAAATCAAGACAAGATAAACAAATTAATTAGACCTATGACCTCTATGGAAATAGAAATAGTCATCAAAAGTCTCCCAACCAAAAACAGCCCAGGACTAGATGTTTCAGTGCAGAATTCCACCAGAACTTCAAATAAGAACTAATGCCAATAATCCTCAAATTGTTCCACACAATAGCAACAGAAAGAACATTGCCAAACTCCTTTTATGAGGCTACAATTACCCTGACACCCAAACAACAAAAGGATGCAGCTAAGATAGAGAATACAGACCAATCTTCCTCATGAACATTAATGCAAAATACTGGCAAACCAAATCCAAGAATACATCAGAAAAATCATCTACAATGACCATGTAGGCTTCATCCCAGAGATGCAGGGATGGTTCAACATATGAAAATCCATCAATGTAATCCACCCTATAAAGAAATTGGGA